CCATGTATTATCATGTATAGACATGTATTACCATGTATTACCATATATTGCCATGTGTAGCTATGTAATGCGATGTATAGCATGTATAGCCATATATTGCCATGTATCACTATGTATTACCATGTATAACCGTGTATTACCATGTATTGCCATGTATTACCATGCATTGCCATGTATAGCCATGTAAGTAAGAGATAAAGCCCGAGAACGGAGGTATTAAGCCATATACATCCCTAGGGCCGTAGGCCCGAGGGATGTATATGGTTAATACCGACGTTCGAGGGGTTTATCTAACTTATTTCATGATATTATTCATGAGGTGTAGGTTACATAAAGGTCGTCTTCACAGGGCAATAATTGGCCACTTGTTTTTGACATCTGTTTGTTTGTCATTTTTTGATCCGACCGCAGACAATGACGTATTTGATTGTAAGTATTGTAAAGGTTTTCACACAGCATTGAGAAAGGGCGTTTCACGGGTCATAATTTGTTCAAACCACTTGTTCTCACTTAGGTGAGAAACGGAGAATAATAGCGCATTGTTTGTTTGCTAAGCCGACAACAATCAAATTTCAAACCTTTTGTGTTTTTTTATTTTTGTCTTGGTATGTTTTGGGGGGCCAGTACACTTGTGAGAGCGGCAATGGATAGTGACGACGAAATTTTCCTAACGCAAAATACTTTCTCTCAGGAGCCTTTTTCCCCTGAGTTGAATTTGGACGAGTTAGTGGGAGACTTTAGAGAAGGAAGCGAACGAGATAGTGTTGAAGTCGAAAAGAAAGAAAATCCTGGGCGTAATATCGTTGTTGTTTGTGATAACGAAGTCGAGAAGAGAAGAGAGTCCAGAATACCGGCAAACACGAAAGTTAATAATTCATGGGCGGTACGTTGTTGGGAGGAATGGGCCGTCGAACGCAATGTAAAAGTTAAAAAGAATAGCAGCAAAGAGAAATACTACGAAGTCAATCCTGACATTAAGAAAGTCGCTAATGAGCAGCTTGACTAC